TTTCAAAGGATTTAATAAAAAAAAAAAAAAAAAAAAAAAAAAAAAAAAAAAAAAAAGAAGTATACTGAATATGAAGAAGAGAGTATTTCTATCGGGGACTGATGAGGAGAAGAAAAAAAACAGATAAATAGGGAAGTTAAAATGGCAATTAAAATTGCTAAAAGTAATTATAAAAATAAGATTGAGGGTATGTTTATGCATGGTAATCTTAAAGTCGCCTGGAAAGGAATTAAGAGTATGGCTGCAGTAAGTACAGGGGTATCAAATCAGCATAAGACAATGGAGAATTATGATACCAATTTAATTTTATCTAATAAGTACAATGAATTTGGTACCTGATCCATGAAAAAGCTCAATTATTGTACCAATACCCAAAAAAGCTAAGCCAGAATCTTTGAATGATTACCGTCCGATTGCCTTGACCTCTTTGGTCATGAAAGCTTTTGAAAAACAGATCATAAAGCATATGATGACGGTCCCTGGACCGGTCCTAGATCCAATGCAGTTTGAATATCACGCTAGAAGAGGTGTAGATGATGCAAAATGTGGTTTTATCGGACACAAACATTTCTATAGGTTCACCACAAGGTTGTGTACTTTCTCCTAATCTTTTAATATTATACACTAATGAATGTCAGAGTTTACAAGACAACAGTTATTTGGTCAAATATGCGGATGATACTGTGCTTCTGTCCTTGCTTTCATATTCAGACCAGGAATATGGTTCGGTTTTGTATGATTTTATTTTGTGGTGTAATACGCTCTTAAAAATAAAGGTGCTTCACGATGCCATAGAAGAACCTTTTTGTCTAAATGGTTCCATAAAGAACCTTTAACATCAGAAGAACCTTTCTGTTTGACAAAAGGTTCTTTGTGGCGAAAGAAGGTTCTTCAGATTATAAAAAGGTAAGAAAGAGATGGTTCTTTAAAGAACCTTTGACTGAATGGTTCTTTGTGGAACCAAAAATGGTTCTTTATGGCATCGCTTAAAGAACCTTTCGAAGCACCTTTATTTTTAAGAGATGTAATTAGATCTAAATGTATCAAACTAAAGAGATGATCACCAATTTTAGTAAGAATACACTTGCACTTCAACAGGTGGTCATTAATGACACACCGGTGGATGTAGTAGAGGAATATAAGTATTTAGGAATGATTATTGATAACAGGTTGAAGTTTGATCAAAATATGGATACAATTATTAAAACGTCACACCAAAGATTGTTTGTGCTGAGGAAGCTTAACTCGTTCAATGTACAGAGCGTTATTCACAGGTCTTTTTTTTAATTCATTTGTTTAAAGTATCCTGACCTTTTCCTTTATTTGTTTTCATAATTGTCTATAAAAGAACACAAATTGTTTGCAAGGCATTGTTAATATGTGCGCAAGAATTATGGATGGTTCCTTGCGAAGTCTTACATTTTATTATGAACAGCAAGTGATGAGGATGGCACATAAAATAATAGGAGACAGCACACACCCTTTGCATTATTTGAAATGTACAGCGCTCTCTTCCACCTTCACTGACTGAGGTGCCCTTGAGCAAGGCACCGAACCCCCAACTGCTCCCCGGGCGCCGCAGCATAAATGGCTGCCCACTGCTCCGGGTGTGTGTTCACTGCTGTGTGTGTGTGTGTGTGCACTTAGGATGGGTTAAACGCAGAGCACTAATTCCTAGTATGGGTAACCATACTTGACCACATGTCGCGTCACTTCACTTTCATTGCATTGATATAGCCCATTAGTCATATGGACTAGTGTAATGACATTTGTGTGATACAGGTTGTGAATGACATAAGGGGAAGTAAATGAATTTTCATCTTTAGCTGAATGTTTGCTTGAAGCGATAAAGATTGCATTTGAAGGAAATTAAAATAGCTTTGTGACATTTAAAGTTAAGATATGCATAGATGATGTGCTGTTTTAGAGTGTTTTACCTCAGGCGTTTGAGGTTTGTCTTCCTCTGTCAGTAAGAAGGTGAAGCTACAGGATGAGAAGGAAGAAGACCTGGTAAGTGGGTAGTAGCAGGTCTGAGAAATGTAATATAACCTGTATTATATCTTCTTTTTACTAACTATTTAATTATCATGTGACTGTATTTGGCTGTGAAAAGACTTGATCCAGTAAATAATGAATTCATCTTTCTTTCAGCATTGGTATGTTGAGTCTTACCTTATATTGGGTGAGGTAACACAGAACCGGTTCCTCCAATCAACACGCACAGCTCCCATAATCCCGTGCAAACCTGGATCTCCCTCTTCACACACACAGCCTCCATCTCCCACAAAACAACTGGACAGAGATATAATCAGATCAGAAGATGTCCACAATATTTTTGTGCAGGTTGCATTTGAACTGATGTTAAAATTCATGGATGTCATCATTTTGTTTAATTGTCTAAAGACATATTTTAATAATCTCATATACTCCAAGCAGCACAACCATTAAAAAAAAAAAAAAAAAAAAAAAACACACTTTCAGAATTCTGTGCATGTGTAAGTGGGAATCATGATCAGCCTGCCGATGTGGGAAAATCCCGCAGATTTCCTCTTTGGAATTCTCCTCACATCTCAGGACTTTTCCATGAGGACCAGAAAGGAATCACATCACAGTACATACTCCGGTCACATAAACCTGCGTGCTGTGCTTGTAGCTCAGTACATGCACACACCTTAAAAGCACATCCACCCAAAAGATTGTGAATAATTAATGTAATTAATAACCAGTACTGTATGTCTGCATAGAGTGAAGCTATACAAACTAATTAACTTCACTAGGTCTATTGGAACATGATATTGAGGCATACCTTCAATAATGCATCAAACAAATGATTGATTAGTGCTCTCATAGATTTGATTTTGTAACATGCTTTGTTTGGTGTTAGCAAAGAAGAAAAATCATTAATGAGATCTGATATGTTTCTCCTAGATGTCAATGAGATTAAATGGAGAGCAGGTTTCCCACCTCTCCGATTTTTGTCTCCAAAGAAAAAATGACTCATGTCTATTCTTGAGTTTCAGAATCTCAGTCTGTGCTCAAATCAAAACAGTCGGAGATCTCAAAATGAACTCAAACATTTCTCATGAGATTCCGGTAAAGACCAAGTTATCCAAACAATGCTGTTTGTTTGATAGCTCTATACTCTTACAGTTTGTGTCTTTTTATCTCTGTCAGGACCACTAACGTCAAAATGATAGATACTTCGCATAAAGTTTGGTTTGGTGGTATGGTTCTGTTCTGGGCAACAAAAAAAAACTCCCTGCCCATCCATGCAGCCTGTAATGAATGAGCAGGGAGAGCAGCAATAATAACCCCCCCCAGGGTTAACAGAACAGAACAAGGCAGATATTATTAATGCACTTAATGATATTTAAGTGTAACACTTTATTCAAGATAAAGGAGTCTGATTAGCGAGGAATATCAGAAAGCCAAGTCCTGACTGTGGCAAAAGGAGGAGCTGGGGATGGAGGGTAATTTGCTCCGGAGCAAGCTGAAAAGCTGCTGAATAGCGCTTATATAGGAATGCCGCGATAGGTGTCGTATTCCTATAGATGTGATCAGCTGAGACTCACGTGACATGCCAGAACTAACGCTAATGCTTAATTTCTCATAAACTTCTTATAAAAGACCTAATCGAAAGCTCCATTAATCCTGTAAAATCTGACATGAAACTATAGCCTCCCAAAATTAAATTTTTAGAAATTTAGTTGATTGAGCATTAGATAAAACAATTATAATAATAATTAATTTATTATTATAATTGTTTTATCTACTGGCTCAATTTCGGGCTATAGTGTCATGTCAGCTTTTACTCAACAAAAATTTTCATATTTGATACATCATACGTTTTTATGGCCCATATAGTATGATATGAATATGGAGCTCATACTCATGACTTTTTATTCAGAGGCCCATACTGAACAAAAATATGAAATTTGGTGCAGTTGCTGATATTTATATGGCCAAAAAGTAAGATGGAATTCTGACAGCTTGTAATGTTAATGACATTTTTAAAACAATATAGCAGACTACTTAAAAAAAAATAAAATGCATATGAATATCAGTTGTCATTCTCTATCTCCCAATAATACATCATAAAAAGAGGATATTCTAATGCTTCGTTTTATGTTCTGTGGTTTTCATTGTAGGGGGTGAATCATATAATGCAATCCAATACAATGATGACTGAGAGATGAACAAATAAATGCTCTTCAAAAACCTGATAACATGATTTTTCTAAAAAAAAAAAATAAAAAAAAATGTATGGATGTAAACCTATATTCCTTCAGTCCAGGTCATATTGAAACATTACTAACAATATAACATTTATTTTTACATTCACTTCATAAAAATCATTACAAATTTTACAACAAATAGATTTCACAACCTGAAGGTGAACGTTTTTAGAATTATACTAAAAGGCTTTAGAATTATACATGTTTTTCAGCAAAGTTTTGATTATGTTGATCATTTACAGGCCTTAGACATTTATGTATCAAATAGGGTTAAGACTCCTAAGCTAAGAAAGAGCAACCTCTGAGCAATTGTTTTTTCCTCTGGGAAAGGTCTTACCTCAGTGAAGGATGACAGATTTCAGCATCATTGGATTGGCCACTTGGTGCTGTTGTTTGTGAAATCCCCACAGATTGCCTCAGAGAGCTCATATTTGCATGGTGCAGGTGTCCCAGGCTTGACTTGGCAGGCACTGAAAATATCTACAAAAAACATGGTCTTGATCAGTCCCAAATAGCCCGTGTGTGTGTCTGAGAGAGACAGAGAGGACGAGCTTTCGATATGGTGTGATGTGTCTTGACAGATCTGGTGCACTAGGACTCACGTGTAGAGATGGTGACCCATGCCTACTGGCGGAATCAGGGTAGCTATACTGCGGGACTGTCCTGACCGGGTCCTGTGGAACAGGAAGAAATGTGCGAGCGTGCAGCCAGCCAAGCGAGAGGCTAAACTCTGAGAACTGAAACAGTCAACAACAGCATCAGAAATGAACTTTTAAGGGATAATATTATTATATGAATTAGCCACCAATTTGCCAAAATGTAAAATAGTTATGAATTGCCATGAGATGGGGGATTTGATTAAGAATGAACTGTGCTTGCTGATAGTGTTATTATTTGCAGCGAACTGTTTTAGCACAATTTAACCGATTTCCTGAAGTAACAAGGCAAATCAGCACAAACTTTTTGTTATTGTTTAAAGCATAAATTTAAGAAAAATGTCGGTTTGTGCTTGAAACAGAGAGAAATAAAATATTGCAAGACATATTCTCTAAAAACAAGAGAATACTGTGCTTGCTGATAGTGTTATTATTTGCAGCGAACTGTTTTAGCACAATTTAACCGATTTCCTGAAGTAACAAGGCAAATCAGCACAAACTTTTTGTTATTGTTTAAAGCATAAATTTAAGAAAAATGTCGGTTTGTGCTTGAAACAGAGAAATAAAATATTGCAAGACATATTCTCTAAAAACAAGAGAATATCTGTCACGAATCCGGTCTATGAACTTTCAATTCACTCACCAGAGGTCACCCTTCCATTACATTGACTCTCGCACTACACAAACTGTTGCATGTCATCCTGGACTACATATCCCATCATCCATTGCACTGATTGCTCACAGCTGTAACCAATCACACATTCACTATATAACACTCACGCTGATCCCTTTCAAACTGCGGAGTACTGTTTAGCGCATATCACTCACCTAGCGATAGCTACTCTACGGAGCCATTTCTAGTTTACATTGTTTAGTCTTAATCTTGCCTTGCCTTGCCTGTTTTCTGACCACGCCTTTAAATAAAAGCTTTTGCAGATGCAGATGCAGATGCATCCACACATCTCTCGTCTCATCGGCTCCATGACAGAATACTCGGCCGTTTGAAAGGGATCAGAGTGAGTGTTATATAGTGAATGTGTGATTGGTTACAGCTGTGTGCAATCAGTGCAATGGATGATGGGATATGTAGTCCGGGATGACATGCAACAGTTTGTGTAGTGCGAGAGTCAATGTAATGGAAGGGTGACCTCTGGTGGTGAGTGAATTGAGAGTTCATAGACCAGATTCGTGACATAAAACGTTATCCAGAGGGCTTGACAAGAGGGTAAATCCAATAACACGAGCAATAGTCCAGGCAGGAGAAAACAGAGTCCGAACGGCGAGACAAAAGGGCTATCTGAGAAACACAGGCAGGAATCAGAACACGAGAAAACAGGCAAGACTAAGACTAAGACTAATGCCGAGTTCACACTGCACGATTTTCAAACTTGTCATACGCCGTTGTTTTAACACTGCGTGACTATCTGGGGTAGCAGTCAGTTGCTGCTGTGTTCACATTGCACGATGGATCGGCAACAGGGGGTTTCACACTGCATGACTTCACTCTCAGGAAGAATCGCCGACAACTCGGTCTGGTCCGCAAACTACGTTTCACAACAAAACACACGCAAGAAGTGATAAAGAAATAATGCGAGAACCTGCGTGCTTCAGACCGGAGTTCTCGCGAGCAAGACTGTAATTATTTTAAATATATATATATAGCCCGCAAATTGTCTGTGAGCTGATTTCCAGCTACAAGGAGAAAAAGAAAAACAGATTATGCAGGAGGGAGATGCAGGGAACAGGGATTGTGTGTTCTGCAAAGAGAGTTGCAGGTAAATAATTTTGCAGTAACTGTTATGCTGATGTTGTGGCTGGTCAAGCAAATGTTTGTGCTTGTTTCTGTATGATATAATTGTTCATATATCTATTACAATACTGATATTCTGGTCTATAACTCCTCCCGAACTTCCCGCTGCCCTGTATCTTGGTCTCTCATTGGCTGTAGGTCATCGCCGATGTGTTTTTCAGTCAGAAATCATTGCACACAGCGTGATTGTGAATCGGCGACAGCTCCAGATATTTAGCATGCCAAATATTTCGCGAGCGTCGGTGACGCATCGGCGATTCCCTCAGATCACGACTTTGATAATTCACACTGCGTGATTGTCACTCGCGTGCACGAGCAACGATTTGCCTCCGATGTCGGGCATTTGTCGGCGATTTCACAAAACCTGTCGGCGAGTGAAAAATTGGGCTAAAATCGTGCAGTGTGAACTCGGCATAA